CACAACCTATCACCGCGATAACAGCTAATATATACATCTTATAAACTATATAATACACCTACGAGAGATGTCAAAAATAACACATGAAAATCAAACTCAAAAAATAAAAGAAAGAGAGAAGAATGGAAAAACAACACGTGACTAAAGTTACGTGACAAAGAAAAGAGTAAAAAAAAAAATATTATACATATACATATATTATATATAATATTCTATATCTATATATAATACACATACATACACACACACACACACACATATATATATATATATACCGTAATCACGTGACCGAAGTCAGTAACACCGCCGCGGTCGCGCGGCCGAGGTCAGTGACTCCACCGCAGTCACGCGACCGAGGTCATTGACCCCCTCCCACCAAGGCCGCGCGCCCGCGGTCAGTGACCCTCCCCCACCAAGGCCGCGCGGCCGAGGTCAGTGCCCTGCCAAGGCCGCGCGGCCGAGGTCAGTGCCCCGNCGAGGTCAGTGCCCTGCCAAGGCCGCGCGGCCGAGGTCAGTGCCCCGTCAAGGCCGCGCGGCCGAGGTCAGTGACCCCGCCAAGGCTGCGCGGCCGAGGTCACTGACCTCGCCAAGGCCGCGCGGCCAAGGTCAGTGACATTACTGTAGTATGTATATAATACATATAATACAATATAAAGTATAATATTATAAATGTATAATAAATTATATGTATAATATGTATTATTTAATATTATATATAATATAAATTACAGTCACGTTATTTTCAAGTGTTGTTTTTCTACTCTTTCCTGTCACGTGACTTTAGTTACGTTTTTAATTTTCTCTACGTATACGACGAACTGTCTCAAAATCTCTTTTCATTATTTACTCTCTCGATCTTACCGATTCGATTTGACTCGATCAACCAACCAACCAATCGGCAACGCCGAAAAAAGGCAATAGATGCGATACATTCGGCTCCAAAACGCGCACTTCTCGGTTCAAATGACTTTTTTTATATAAGATAATTTTTGATACAATTTTAGTCAACAGTTGTTTTCTGCCACAATAGTTAAATAACAGTTTAAAACCCATTGCCTTTTTTTTAAACTCAGAAAATGTATTTTCGACGAATTTAGTATCCTCTTTCACTCGAGCCGCGAGAGCGCAAAAAAATAGATGCCACGAGTTCGGAAAACCGCAATTCCCCGAAGTAACTGTTGCATTTTAATGTAGTGGTCGAGCTTCAGAGCAAAGTCACGCGCTGGTAAAAAAAATCTGTAACGTTCTTCAATCTCCTGTTATGAAGAAGTTCATGATTTTTTCACAATCGAGCTGGTCCTCGAAATCATCGGGAAGTGAAAGTTTTGTCAATGAGTTGCAAAATTTTTATTGGAAAAAAATACATCAATCTCAAAATGAGGATGTTTCTATTCGAAGCGCTTGAAAACTGAAAGTGTTAAAGAAAAAACAATTCAAAATAGTATTTATATAATTGCTTTGCTAGTCATATTTGTGTACAAATATTTTTACACACGAATAACTCGCCATTTTATTCTTACTCTTCTTTTCTCTATCAGTTGATAATAATAAACGGTTTTGTAGAAAAAATAGACAAAATATATATTTCCTCATATTTGCACACTATTTTACCTCAATTATTTGCAAAGTTATAACAGACTAATTGTAGAACGTAATGAAAATACAACTATCATTTAGTGAACTAACATAAGTAAATATTTAACAACCTTGATAGTTTCTGCAGATAATTATATTACAGTAGCAAAGTAGGGTATTTATTAATAATGTGCTATCGTCATTGTCCTCAAAATATACTGTTTAAAGATTTTATGATCTTTGGAGAAATATTCGGAGTAGACTATTAACTTTATTCTGGTCTTAGCCGCTAGATTAAAGTGAACAAACAACGACTCTACAAGAGCGCGAGTAATCTCTTTGTCGACCTTTCATAATGGTCGACGATGGGGCTCGTTTGCAGCTGTGAATCGCATTTGTAAGAAATTATTTTTACAAAAAGAACGGGTGAGAAAGAAAGAGAGAGAGAGAGAGAGAGAGAGAGAGAGAGAGAAAAGAAGAAGAAAAACGGTCTACTATTAACCATCCGCACATTTCTGATATCAGCGTGCTAAAATTCAAACACGCGTAACAAATTTAACGTCATCCCCGTTTTCCCCTTCATTCTTGTTCGCCAAAAAGAAAAAAATATTGTATGAAAATTCCAGAGAAATAACACACACCGAAGTTATGCGAAAGTTTTGCGTTATCGGTGAAAATTCTGAACCTGTGAAATTATCACGAACAAAAAATCACTCATACTCAACGATCGAGTATCATCTTTTTAAGAGACTTTTAATTATCGATACGTGAATGTTGATGCTAATTACACGTCGCAAACAGTTACAGCATTCAGCAGAAAATTTAAAAGTGAAAGCATGTAAATCCTAGCCTGTTTATAAATATTTTTACATTAAATTCAAATATTGTAATAAGTATTTTATCTTGCAATTCGTATCGAAAGAAAAAAATTCGAGTTCGACTTTTATATTTTTATCATTGATTCTTCTCTATTTCAAGTTTCTTTTTAAGTATTTTACACGTACATATTTCTTTAATACTCAATTTCTCTCTCTTGTATGCAGAAACGTATAATTGCACTTTTCTTCTAGACAATGCAATACAAAAACCGTTTACTGACGGCTGACCCGCATCCCATGCGAAAATAAGTGCATCATAACTCTGGCGAAGCTGGGAGCCGCCCCATAAATAGATAAAACAGCGCGACTCGATAGACATCATAAACGATTTACCAATAACGTCGGCACGTCCATTCGCGTGCTTTCATCGCCATTCCATTCAGAGATCGATTCTAAAGCCATCTCGATGAAAAAAGATGCTTCCGTAACGGAAAGCGAATACTAATATTTTTTTTATTATTATTGAAGAAAAGTATATAGACTCAAGTTACTTATATAGTGAAACCGAAAATATTTTCTTTTGTATATCAAAAATTCAATTTTATATTCTCTACACTTTATTTACACATATATATACATATCGAAAACTTGTTCTTATAGTATTTGAAGTATTTTGTGATTGTTTATTTTTTGAATAGAATTCACACATTACTTTTTACATTATTCTCGATATTGGACAATATAAGCAACAAATATACATACATGGAGCAGCCAGTGCTCTCTGGCTACATTGTTGCTGGACAATTCGAACTGCACATGTGTCTGTTTTGGCATTTATAGGAGCATTTATACTAGCTGGTGGTTATACAGCGGTGCAGAGATAGTTAGGGGGCGCGATACTATCGGCGAAGGCGCCTCCAATCATTTCCCAATTAACAGCTAATTGCGTACAGTCCCCGATAGAAGCAGCTATAGCTTCGGTTAACTGAGAACCTCGCTGGAGAAAGGGGAAGATGGAGAGAGAAATGGAGAAAGCAAGTTCTGGATAGAGTGGAAAGGAAGATAGAGGGTTAGAAGAGAATATGACAGTAGAGAGGGACGATTTGCAACGTTAATATCCAACGATGCCGAACGGTTTGGGGCGCAATATCGGTGATCGTGCAAATTGCGATCGGCAATAGCGATCTTTATACACGGACTCGTGCGAGGGATAATATAATAGTGTCATTAAAGATAGCGCCGCTATTCCACGGTCGTATTGTTATTGGAAAATCGTCCAGCGTCGCCGTCCTACGGAGTTAAGTTTCATTTTTATAGCCCGTCGCTTGATCTCCGCTTTTATAGCCGCGGATGATAGATTCCGATAGAATTTTCATTTCTGCAGGTATAGCTAATTTCTGTTCGAATGCGATAGATAAAGATAATATGTGTGTGTCTTGCTTAATCTCGGTTTGAAGTAATTTATAATAATTTTTTCAACAAATATGTGTTATTGTTATTATTATACATATGTATATATATATATACATATACACACAGTATATTTATACGTATACATACACACAATATAAAAAAAACGCAAAGATAGTTAATAGTTATAAACTACCAAGTGCACAGTATAAACTAAAAATATCTGAAAATTAATACATTTTGGAGATACGTTATTTTTATAACTGCAATTTGCGTAAATTGTTATATCGTTTATTGGATATCACGTAGTCACGTTCTAGCGCACTTCATATAGTTATAGATATCGAAAACTGTTTTCATTTCTAGCAAAATTCAATTAAACAAGCTTGAATCTTTCGATATTGTCGTGTTAGAAAAATAAATGACGATTGGGCTCTCTGCAAATATCAGTTCTGACGATTTGATTAATCTTGAATCTCTTGTTAACGGTGATCTCGTCGATTTAATTTTCTTTTTTTTTTTTCATCAATGCCGAACGGACTCGCAAATCAAATTTTGTCGGAACTGTACGTTGCTTAAAAACTAGTGGAAAACGGAAAATAGAAAAATTCAATTAACTTACCGTTTCGTGAAACACGCATGTATCATTTGTACAATAGTTTTGACCCGTCGGTATTAAACTGTCTAGACTTTTCAAAAATATCTCCCCGGTAATTTTCCGAGTTTTCTTCTTTACAAAGAAAAAAGTAAAACCAGACATTGACGGAAAAAAAACCGATGGAAACTGCAGCAGCGTGTTACGATACAGACGCTGGTAGTTTTCCTCCAACACGGAAGTTTATGCGTTTATCGTATTGGAAGCAAAAACAGTCCAATAGCCGCGCGTCGCGACGATCCGTTGGCACTCGCGTGCATCACACTCGAATGGGGCGGGCGCGCCGTTAGTCACATCAAGCAGAAAAATGGACTAATGGCCCGGAGGAGTTAAAACGCCGAAAATGGCACAGCGCCGTCCGAAAGGCGTTAAACGACGAGTTCTCTCTCGTTAACGTCCATTGTCTCTCAGGCGGATTAGCCGCTTTGTCGATTTGTTACGCTCCTCTTCTTTTCTTTCGTTTAATCCGTCGTGACCATACACATATGTACGTTTCAACGAGAGACGCCGCGTCTCATCGCTCGCATTTTCGGGTGTTTCAGAGTCTGGCAACCTAGCCGTTGCGGCCCATTATTCCTCGGGGACCCATAACGACGATAACAACGATGACGACGACGATGACGACGATGACGACGACGGCGACGGCGACGGCGACGGCGACGACGACGACGTCATCGGTGACAACGATGGCAGTAATGAAGAATCGTCCGAACATAAAGTCCGTCACGTGTCAACACGGAAGCAGCTGGCCGAGCAACGATCCCGATACGAATTATTCAGACGGCCCTGAAACTACTTCAAAACGGTGGGACATCATACTCAAGTGTGCCCGATGGCGCGATTCGTCGTCGCCGGATGGTGTCGTGTTGGAAGACAATGGTGGAGTGACGATACTTAGAGTGTGTTGAGTGACTGCGATTGATCGATAAAGTGTGATGATACAAGGCACTGTATCTTTTTACAGATAGTTTGCCGAAGAGAAATGTTGCGTGACGTTTGAGACAAAATAATTGCGTGAACAAATGACGAGCGATGCAGCAAAAGCAATTTGTATTGTGGATCGAGAGAGAACAAGCACTTAAACTAATTTCTTGTTCAAACATGTTTTATTTACACGTTTTGAATTATATATCGTGTGTTTATTTTACATTAAGTTTATTCAAAAAAAACTGATTGTTGATATTGACATTTGTATTTACAAAAAAAGCTTCTTGTAATTGTGTACGGAAACGCTTGAGACTCAATTACGTGGGGAAACACGAAGTATTTTCGAAAGCGAATGTTTCTCTCTCGAAAAAATTGGACCGAGTCGGTATGTTGCAGCGAATGAACATGAAACGCGAAATTAAGGAAAACTACAAACGAAGCGAACAAGAAAAATAGAAGTTTACGAACTCCAGTCGGTCACGCACGCGTTTTCGCGTGTCTGAAACGAATAACGGAAATATTCTTACGTATTTATATTTGTCTCTCTTGACGTTTTGTTTCCGCGATCACATAAATCATACAAATTATCGCAATTCTCTGCGGGATATATTCTATACCGCGTAATAGCGAATATTACAAGCAATTTGGAAAAATAGCGAAAATAACACCCAGCGAAAAGATCGGACAGAAATTTTTACCGCACCTCTCATTCGATTCGCGATAATTTGTAAAAATTAGATGTCTCTGATTCTTCTCCTAAATACACTTTAACTAGAAACATATATTTTTATAACTTATTTTTAAAAAAGCTAGAAGAAGAAATATTATAATATTCCAAAATTTTAACGATCATTATGTTATATGATGATATTTGCTACATAATGTATAAAATATTTCCATCGCTTCTGAATAATTTGATATTGCCAAAGATTGCTTCTATATTATGTGAAGAAGGACGGAGCAGTGTCGTACATACATACATATATATATGTAACAAATTTATCAAATACGTCAAAAATATGACAGAAGCGCGAACGCGAGACAGAAAGGGAAGGAGAATCAGAGGAAAGCCGTCCAACAAAGTAGAAAAAGTCGATTCCCCGGTGACTCGGACACGCGTCATCGCGTGTCCCGGACAAATTAGCGATCCCTGACTTTGCTATGGCTGATTTATTCGTCGCGGTATGCATCGTTCGGGCATATTATCTCCGTCCTCGTCGGGTACATGGGCTCGGGGATTGAATATGTGCAAAAATCGCCAGGAACAGCGCGTAAAAGTTTCGCGGGCGGAAGGGCTTTAATCAATTCCCCCGGCGTTAATAGAAAGTAACTTCGGATGGTAACTCTCATTCGCGCTAATTTAAATTTATGAGAACTTTGAGTTAAATTCGATACAACATTTATTGATCTTTATTGAATAATTTCATTAAGTAAAATATTGCTTTTGTTAATTAATGTCATACACGACGCGTTTCATTTGTTACGGGACACATATTGAAAATTAATTAATTTCACCACATGTCGATTTAATGATTCGTTAATTGTTATTTTCATTTTGCAAAAGGACGATTATTATTTTTCTTTGTTCGACATCTGCTCGCGCCGCTTTCAAATTATATCCGGGGTATAATGTAGGCGGAGGTTAACGAGACTAACACGCTAACGATGCCAGCGTTAATTACCGTCCTGGATAGACCGCCTAATCGCCGGGCGAGTGGACACACTAATTACGCGCCCGATGATCGAGCGGATCCCAATTCAGAATCGGTGAGAAATCGCGGAATCAGAGATTGAATTCCTCGTTTGTTGGATGTTCGCGGTGCGAGTCCGTACATTTGTACATTTAACAACACGCACAGATTCTCTCGATCCATCAATACAGCAGTTTGTATGATAATCCAAATACACAAGAGTTCTGTTATTATTGGAATTGTTAATGACGCAAACGAGAAAGATGTGTTTTAAAGACGTATAATTCCGTGTGAGTTATTGATTTACCTTATTTATTTGAACTCAAAAACTGTTTGTCTCTTATTTCAAACATCAGTGATTACCAGTATAAAATTTGCAATTAATAATAATCTGTGTTATGGATTAAATTGGCGCACAGACGTTCCGTACATTCAATCGCTTGATTAGACACGAAGTTCGTTTAATGTGAGATTTATTTCACATTTTGCCTCGTTACGCGATGAGTGCGATTGAAACTACAATATCGTATATGCATCTCAGTTTTTATACACATCAGGGAAAACGTTGCATCAGTCTCGTCACGGAGCTTTTGTAATGTAGACAAAGTGAGCGCGAAGACACGTGTGTGAAAGTGCACTAGATAATAATTCAAACACAAACCGTTTATATATTTAAGAGAATCCAGAAGTAACATTTTATAAATTAATAGAGCTTGTCGATGAGTGACATAAACAAATATCGTTGGCCTAAGGTAGGAGCGATGCAACGCTTTTTATGTGTGTATACTTGTGATAGGTGTAATTGCGCGATCACAAAACAATGGATTATCAGTCCTCGATACCATTTAAGAAATTTGTACGAGAATGCAAATTACATTATATATATATATACATATATACAATACGCCGCAAATTTTTCATCAAAATGTACAAATGCTTTTTTTCTCATCAGTCGGCAAAACGAATTCTTGTGAAGATGCGCGCGCACGTGACGTCCGTAGATTCGCCTGCTCGATAAATGCTCGAAGACACAAGAGATACGCGGTCAGAGAGAGAAAGAGAAACACGGCGTTGCAGTTTAGATTTACGATAGATAAACGAGACACTTAATTCGTAAGATAGAGTTTCCTACATAGAGATAGCACGCGAACGAGATGCGCGCCGAGAATCTAATCGCTTAAGACACACACAATACACACACACACACACACACACACACATACATATATCGACACTACTCTACAAGCGCAGCATATGTGATTTTGTAAATACGTGAGTGCAACGAGTGTAGCGTCGATTCGAGACAAAAATGAGAACGACGTCTCGCTTGTATTCTTTCCCATTTCCTCGCGAAGAAAACGAATCAACGAAGAACCCGCTCGATGATTGTACTGCCGATCTTTTCTAGAGAGACAACGATCGCGTGAGCTTGGCTTCTTCTCACATGTGTATGTATGTATGTGTTTCTCTCGATGTATATGCGCGGTGTATATGCGTGTGTGGTAAATTCGTGCGAAAAAGGATCCTGCAGATGAGCAGGTGCAATGTCCAGGAAGAACGAGCGCTCGCGATCGCGGAAGTATTTCTCCGGCTTGTCCAGACGTGCGTGATTACGTGATGATGAAGAGGTAAGGAAAGATGAGCGCGTGTAACACAGGGTAGACAATAGGGACCATCGAGAGAGAGACTGCTACCAGGAGCGAGCGAACGCGATGGCGACGCGCGAGACGGCGAATGTTCGTTTCATGAATATTTCAACATCCGTCGACGACGGTAAATACCGAGCGTCGTGAAATTATGTTCCGCGAGCCAGTCGACCCAAATATGCGTTTTTCGCGACAAGAGGTTTCCTGCGAAGAATATTATTCCGCGACACAGCATCGTTTCGCGAACGAGAAAGAAAAGAAATTTCCTTGAGACCATTGTCGTGAATGGCGCAGAAATATAACGTAGAAATTGTAGAAATTGCAAATTTGTATATCACTTTTAGCTGGAACCGGTCGCGGAATATTTCACGTGTTAATGAGAAAAAATATCTATCTCTCTTTCTGTTATAACGCTCTTTTTTTAAAATAAAAAAATCTTGAATAATCTTTTTAGATAGTTAAAAGCGCAATATACACGCAAATCAATATTACTTTCGACTTTATATTCCGCGAATATCACAAAATCGTAATTCTTTATGGAAACATATGGAATCCGGAAAATGATAATAGTCCCGTTGCGGGATTACAGCACATATTACATTTCGAAGTATAATGGAATGTTCGAAAGAGCGTATTACCCCGCGCCGACAGCGTGCTCTGCGGCATATTACATTTTCAAGTATAAAATTGTTTCACGGTGCCGAGTCTTTGAATTTTCCCTCAAAGCTCCCGTCTCTCTTTTCCGGAAGAACGCAATCTCTATTCCGCGGACGCGTCGTGTATACAAGAGGCGGGCCGAACTTTATTACGGAGGAACGGCGCGCGGTTCTCGACGACTTGCGGGCGGTTCTCGATCGACCGTGAACGGGAATTCATTCGGCACCGCAGGAGACCGAGGTTAGTAAACCTCTTTCGTTGTGGGAGGAACGGGTCAATAATGACGACGAAGCAGCCTCGCCTCGACTCGTGGCTGAATCGCGCGTCGTCGAGGAAAAAGAGCGCGAGAGGACGACGCGATAGAGGAAGGGGTGAGAGAGAAGAGGGTGAGAGAAGCGAAAGCAAGGGAGAGAACGTGCCACCTGTTACACCCTCGTCTTCTCGGACTCTTCCCTCTCTCCGGATGGTCGGCGTGAACGTAAAGTCGAAAGTTCGAGGTTTCCTCGGCGCTCTTCTTCGGTGGGAACTGGCTATCGCGGAATGTTTTTCAAGCGACTCGCCAAAAGTTTTCGGTTGAAGGGATTTCTATTTGCGCGACGGCTAATTCAATCGCCCTCTCATCCGGCCATTACTGCAATTGCTCCGCGATTTATTTTATTTGCCATCTTACGTAATAAACTTAACGATCTTATATTTGCGATCTTAATTTGAGTGAAATGGTTCAACGCGAAAGTGGATTTTAAATTGTTGTTTTCGCGTCGAGTTTGCGCTGCACGTCTGCCATTTCTTCGCCCATTCCTGAGCATCGGCGATCGTGACGCACCAACTATTTCGTGGGAATTTCTTCTTCGAGATACGTACGGCCACGCGGCAGAACGGAGAGTGGATCGACTTGTCTCGACGAAGCGAATTGTGAAATCGTGCGAGATGGTCAAACACAATAAGCTTGGAACTATGTACTCAACATGATAAACCATGTTCGAATAAAACTGTCACATAATATAGTGGCTACTTTATTACTGCCTCAACCATAAACTCGATAAAAACTTGATGTCGACGTTTTGTTATTATTAATTCTTCAGCAAGACTGCATCTGAAGCAAATTAAGGTACGTTTAACTTTTTATTCGAATCATTGCCACCCATCAACGAACTGTTACATTTTGTGTTGCGATGTTCTTTCCGCTTGTGATCGTATCTGAGATGCGGATAACAGATAGATATTTTCGCCGTATTGACATTTTCATATCCGTGTCATTTTTTTGAAAATGAAAGAATTCTTAAAAAAAAAAAGAGAAAGAGAGAAGTGTGTGTTCAATGGATGAAGGGAAAGTACGGCGTGAAAAGAATTTGACGTCGCATCTCTATTTCGTCCAAGAGCCACGCGCGTTACTTTCTATAAAAGTGTCGAATGCGATATCGACTGATATGTGATCAATGCAGCGCTCGCGCCTGGCTGAACGATAAAAGCGGCCGCGAAATAGAGGCGCGTCGGCCTCGCCTTTTAGCGCATCGCACTTTCGAATGTATCGCGGCTTTTATTGCGCGTCGATGCGTTTTTCACGCTCGATCGGCATAGCAAACTACTCAGTATATATCCAGAGCGACACCGCTCTCCTTCCTCCCTCTCCTCTCTTTTCTCGTATATCCCCGCGAGCTTCATTCAACCACTATCTGCGCATTCTTGTTGCTCCATAACCGTATAACACGGAACTGTGTTACTCGATAAACTACCACGATCGATCAAGCTGGCCAAAATATGTCGACACGTCAAATGCAACCGCGTTTTTAACATCTCGAACATTTCCTGGTTTTCGGCACGTCCCGTTTTGAAATAACGATGCGCCGCGCGCCGGGGTGGTGCATTACTGTGTCGGTGTTATACTCTTCACGGTCGCTCGTGAATCAACAAAAAAAATTTGCCGGTGCTGTTGGCAGAAATACGGCGGCGTTTGTCGCGATGCTTCGCCGTGTAAACACAGCATTCGATAAAACTTTCTCTACTGTCGATTACACCGATAACAATGCGTCGTTGTGCATCAGACTCCCCCGAATCGATTATTTAATAATCGGCCGCGTTCAGTCCTGATCGCGCACCAATAAAATCTGCCGCAGACAAAGCCTTATCAAAAATTTCATCTCGCGTTAAAACGTCGATGAGTTAAATATTGACATTGGGTTTTTGGAACACATCACCACTCTCTTCTGCTGTGTTGCATTTATACACGACAATTTGGATTTTCGAACAATACGGAGTCTGCAGCTTGATTACTCGAATAGTTTATTACTGAGACGTTGTGTAACTTAACGAGTCACACAATGCAACTGAAATTTCAATATTGACGATTGTTTGAAACGATTGAATTGATTGTAAAATCATTGTAATCGCTTCAGATTGTATTACTAAAAGCGTTTACTACTCGTTATAGGTACTTTGATATTTCTTATTACGGAAAAAAGACAGATTTTTGCTAGATTAGCAAGAAATTAGTTACTATAATTAGCAAAATAATTTGTTCGGTCTATTGAGATTTTTGCCAACAAAGTGCTTTGTTGATTAAAAACAAATTTAGTAGACACAACAAATTTTTCTTGTTAGCCATATACCAGCAAAACTTGTTTTCGTCTTCACATTTCTAGTGTTACGTGTGCTCGTTGTTATTGAAAAAAGTATAAATTTTACATTGCAAATATGACGCAAATATTTCTACGTAAATATCTTGGAAATTCGTGACAAATTGCATTTTTATGTCTCTGTCTAAGCACTTTCTACAACTGCGCACAACGTATGTTTGAAAATTTATTTCATATAAAAAGCATTCTCAATGCTTGATAGGCAATCATCCAGTCTGTCAGTGTTCTAGCTACTTCATAAACCTTTGTAACCATGTTACCTCTCTATATAGTTTCCCTTATCGATCAAACGTAGGAAATATGTTACTACATCGAGAGAGAGAGGAAAAGATAGAGAGATAGAGATAGAGAGAGAGAAAGAGAAAGAGAGAAAAGGAAAGCCAATGTTCTCCCAACAGTGGAATATTTTATGATTTTCATTGTGCCGCCGCGTTTCCGTGTAGTCAATCGGGGAATTTTTCCTTCGATGTTTCATGCGCGTCCACTTTTGCAACATCGTGTACCATCGCAGCGTAAATAGCTCAGGGGAACATATTTTAAAAATCTTGCTTTATTACAACATGCTCGATTTAGTTTGGTATATATACGCACGTGTAATAATATATTACTAACAATTACCATAGCAAACATTTTGGTTGTTCAACGCGCTTATTATGTTACAATATTAATTACAATTTTGCATAATGCGTTTTGCAAGAAAGGAAGTTGCAAATTAAAACTGGTTACAGTAAAAAATATCACATCGCAACTTTTACATGCGCAATGACACGATAAAAATTTGTGTTGCAAAATAAAAACACAACGTTGAAGAAGATCCATCCTTTTTTTCGCAAAAAAATAAAAACATGTTACTTTTTGTGTTCAATGTAATTTCTGACAGTTTGACATGTTAAAGTTGCATAGTACGATCCTATAATCCGCAGCTCGTCCGCACTATCAAAACGGTCTAACGCGAGAGGATACAAATACGTTTTTTATAGAGCAGTCGTAATAGCGGCAGAATCCCACGGAAACCTGGAGATAAAGCACAAATGGAAAAGGTAGAAATCTCGAGGCCTAGTACCCTCAGGACGATATCACAAAAAGTCATAAAAAAAATCCGCTATCCGGATTACCACGGTTACGACGTAGACGAGAGTTCACGACGGATAATAAACCATGAAATAACCGAACACATATCAGTATAGTTGCGGATACGTCTTCCCGTTACAAAATTGCACTGTCCGTTAAGAAGATATTCGTATATACGAGCACTTCACATATACATATATATATGAAACATATACCAACATATTAAAGAAAATCTTAATACGTGCGCATATATTCACACGCGTTTACGAACTTTCACGCAGCACACATATGCTGTTAAAAAAAAAAAAAAGAATAAGTACGATTAACTAGATTACAGTAATGTGTTGGCTGAGAGATACGCATCACACAGCAATCTGGTTGGTTGTATTTCTTGACGTTTGAGTTGTGATACAAACTTCAAAGAGAGAACAAGAGAACTACACGAAAAAAAAAAAGATTTGCTAGAATAGCAGTAAATGAGTTACTATATGGCCAGCAAAAAACATTTGCCAAGTTTATTAAGATTTTTGTTTTGCCAACAAAACATTTTGTTGACGAAACAAAAACTTTCGTAGAGTCAACAATTTTTCTAGCTTCTAGACCGTATAATAGCAAAACTTTTTTTTTCCGTGTACGCACACTGTATATTGAAAAATTAACTACGTCTCTTTCATAGAGTAACAAAGACTGCGCGAGTTTGGAATATCGTCTGCATTTTTAAAACAACAAATGCTCTGGGGAGACATGCGTGAGGATGTGGAGTATGGGACATTGGGCGAGATGGAATCAGGATTACGGCTTTTTAACGACGGTCGTTAAGCCGATGTTTTTAGCATAGTGCCAGAAACCTGGAACTGGTCAAGTCCCCCGGGGCAGTTTCCTATTTTGCGCAGAATCAAGGGAAACACATGCGTGAAATCGGCAAACTGTACTTAATACGCGCATGCATATGACACGCTAAGTACATACAATGCTGATACCAATAGCCTCCTCGAGGACTCTTTAACTTATCGTTCGTATAACTCACTAAAGTTTGAGAAAATTAGTGTTTCTCGACCGTTTTACCGAGATTGTACGATACACTTTAGAATAACGCGCGAGCTCGCACGACGTTTAATGACGAAATTTTTTACGATCCACTTACCTACTACGCGACGAAAAGTTGGAACAATATTCGTTTTGCATTTTATTTTGATGAATATTTTGTGTGTCGAAACTGAGTTGTAAATCACTTCCAACTATTTTGGCAGTATTTTTATGGATGTAATTTTAGTATCTATGGTTTGGTGCAGAGAGATATGACACAATAACACTTCGCGAGGTGTGTCTCAATTTGCACTTGTAACGGGAAATTTCATATTTCGCTATGTGAATTGTACAGTTGTTCAAGCATGATTTTATGTATTAAACATTAAAGTACAGTGAAATTTTACAAAAGCTTTCAAACAATTAAACTAAACATTTCAATATTCAATTCTATTAACTGCAATAAATATGTGAAGAGAGGAGTAACACTCGTCGTAACACTTGGTCTGCGGTATACATATTGTAACGATAAACAGCATGCGTAATTCTCATGTTCTCTCTCTCTCTCTCTCTCTTGACTCGAGTAGATATACATTTCATCAGAGTTATCTTCCATATTAATAACAATTCAACGTTCACGATTTGTATAGTAAATATACGGACGTGTGTAACATGTTCTCGAGATAAACTGAATTGTCTATTTTTCAGCGTCGCCATTGTTAATTATTAAGGTAAAAAATTCGGAGATTAAAAATTCAATCATACCGCGCGCAACGTGTATTTCCACAGCGGGCTTTAATAATTTCCAACACTTGTTCCTCGCGGGACAATTCGTAATAAGTATTTCAACGACTGCTCGTTAAGTTGATGATTCCACTGTGATGTTCTCTCCCTACATTCGGGGTAGTCAAAGTCGGCCGGTATACTCACGGGGCAGTTTTACACCGGAAAACTTGTTTACGTTACACGCCCTCGTTAAAATATAAAAGCGTTATGCACGCGCGTGCGAAAACACCGGTCAAAATTAACTTTTGTCAGGTTTTTGCGAAGCACGTTTGTTTGGAGGAACATTTCCGGCGAATATATTCTCGCGAGCAGATATCCGTCTTGGAGCAGCGTCTCAGCGTTGAAAAATGCGATTCATAATTAGACATTCTCGGAACTCGCGACAGAAACCGCGCGTAGCAGACGGCACAGAAGTCGGAAAACACATTAAACTCTGAACTCTCTCCTTGTCAGCGATAATGCGCCG